GTGGCGCCGCATGCCGAAATCATTCGCACGCCCTGGGGCGCGTGCTGGGGTGGGGGGGGGGGGCGCGACCGACCTGTGTCAAATAATACCATGCGGGCCACTCTCCCGCGTGGCCCGCGCGCGCATGTCGAACTCCTTCCAGAACCGTCATCACCGACGCGAAGACACAGTCATCGTCGCCGGCGCGATCAGCATCTGCGTACGCAGTGATCGCGCCGTCGTCGTTGTCAACGTCGTCACCAGCATCGCTAGTATCATCATCGTGTCTACCGCGCCCGCCCGAGTCGCCGACTTGCAAGTGAAGTGCCCGCTGGGATGCGCCCAGCGGTTGGCCACCGCGGCCGCGTGGGTCCCGCCAAACTAGCTGGCCGCTGCGCGTGCGTGCTTGGGTTGGCGGCCGCAAAGATGCACCAGCCAATGCCAAGCACTCATCGCAATCGCCGCCGCAGTGGTTTTGCAAACCAAGTTGCGGGTGGGTTGGTGGAATGCTTGCAAAAGCATGGGAGGTGGTCAAGCGCGATGCAGGGTAGCCAGTTGCACCGCATAGGTTGCACCACATATATTGCAAAACATAGATTGCACCACATATGTTACACGACGTAGGTAGCACAACACAGGTTGCACCAATAGACTGAGCCGCGTAGATCACACCACCTATATCTCACCACATAGACAGCACAACTGACATTGCACCACTTAGATTTCACCACGTCGATTGCACCGCACAAAAATGCGCACCTCATCGATTGCACAACGTAGATTCTACCACAGCTTTTGGACCACCCACATTCAACCACGCATAATGCACAACATAGGCTGCACCGCGCACATTGCGCACCACATTAACTGCACCACGTACCTCTTACAGCATAGCCTGTACCACATAGAGTGCACACCAGTTATGGCTAAGGACACTGTCTTCGGTCAACGTTGGCGAGCATTTAGCTGCGAAGTCTAAGAACGCGCTGGTCGTCGAGCTTTGAGCTTCGAACTCCCGGACGTGCCCCATGATTTTGTGAGCCTCCGGGGCACTCGGGATGGGTAAAAAGCTTCCGTGGGGCATCTGCTGAGAAGCCAACTTCTCGTTTAACGTGTCTTACTGTTAAGCAGGGACCGACTGTCCCGGCAATCCGATAGGCCTACCACGAAATGCTCGAACGCTTCACCACTGCTCGATCCTGCACCTGGGGCGGGGCCATCGGTGCTTCTAATGGCGCGCCAGACCTCACGCGGGGCCAAGATTCCCAGGATTCTTGGGCATGAGCGCACGCTCGGGGGATCTGGCGGCCCGCAGATGGAAGTAGGCAGGCTTCTTGGAAGGAGGCTACTTCTCAGGAGGCGCCGGCCCTGCATCTACAGACGAGGCCCGCGCCTTCGAAGAGGAAGGGGTGCTTGTAAAAAGCCGTCCCCCCTTCCCCTACCCCATGCTAGACGCCTCTTAGATGGGGTCTGAGAAAATGGAGCCTGAAGACCGCGCTTCATCGCCGATGCATCGCCGATGCATCGTCGATGCATCGGCGATGCATCGCCGACGTCGGCGGTGCTTCGGCGACGTCGGCGGTGCATCGCCAACGCCGGTACGGAGAAAGTCGGGCCCCGCATCGAGCCGCATCGCCGATGCAACGGCCATGTGGCGCGATCCTCCGACCGCATTTACTCGGACCCCATCTGGCAGGCCTGGGCAGGCCTTCCCCCCCTCCCCCCCCCTCCTGCGCGCGGCTGAGGGGAGCCTTCCGCTTCGCCACCCCCCCCCTTCTCCCGCCTCCTCCTCCTCCTCCTCCTCCTCCCCTCTCCTCCTCCCTCCTCCTCCTCCTCCACCTCCTCCTCCTGCTCCTCCTCCTCTTCCCCTCCCCCCCTCCTCCCCCTCCCCCTCCCCTCCTCCTCCTCCCCTCCGCCTCCTCCTCTCCTCCCTCCTCCTCCTCCTCCTCCTCCTCCTCCTCCTCCTCCTCCTCCTCCTCCTCCTCCTCCTCCGGGGACCCCACCAGATCCACCTGAGCATTGTGCAGCCGATGCCGATCCCCACTGTCCAGAGGCATCCCAAACGGGGTCCGAGCAGATGGGGTCGAAGAGTCGCGCCGCATCGCCATTGCATCGCCGACGCCATCGGCGTTGCATCGGCGATGCATCGGCGACGTCGGCGAAGCATCGGCGACATCGGCGTGGGGAAACACGGGTTGCACATCGAGCCGCATTGTCGATGCATCGGCGATGTGTCGCGATCCTCCGACCCCGTCTACTCGGATCTAAGAGGTCTAGACTGTCGTGTCCTATTGCTTTGAGTTTCGCGGGGCGTACGGCCGGGGAGACTGTTGTTTCGCAGTCTTCGCGGCGGCGGCCCTGGCTCCAAAGGGCCTGGTGGCTGGGAGAGGCTCGGGGCGCTGATGCCTGGGACAAGGACGTGGTTAGCGTGCCACGCCGAAGCGTTCTGGGCCACATGAAGCGAACGCTCCTGACCGTATCCCCACTGGCGTGGCCTGGGCCCAACTTGCCAGCTTGCCTACAGTGGTGGGGATGAGGGCCTGTTCCCTCTGGCCTCGCGGGGCCTGTCGCCACTGGGGAGGGTGGGGCGTTGGTTGAGATGCCGCGGCCCAGTGTTAAGTCGGGCCTGTCCCTCTACAGGAGGAATATTCAAAAATAGACAACAAACAGTCAGGGGACGATGTTTTCACTATGTTCGACTATGCTTGTTGTATGTATTGTTGGCAATGTTCATGTTCCTTCCAACCTCCGCCCGTAGGAGGACATGTCCGCCCTGAGCCCAGTGCTGATGGGGAGTGATGATGGCGGGGAGAGACTGGACCATGCTGACCGCCGGCTGGGGAACCGCCGCTCCTGGACCTCGGGGGGCGGCGAACACATGGACGTCTCCGGCCTCCACGCAGGTCTAAACATGACCATGTCCACCGCCCCCCGAGGTCCAGAAACATCGGCTTCCCAGGCGGCGGATCTGCGTACATCCCAGCATCGGAGAAGGGAGCAGCCGCGGCAGAGCAGGGACGAGATGTGGGGCGAGGCTTGAACAGTGACCGAGCCGGCAGGTTGTTTCTGCAGCCTTGGGCCTGTTGAAGACACCGAGGGCCGACAAGATGAAGCAGGTCGAGACCCTGAGATCCGAGGCCGCGAACAAAAAAAACATGGTGAACGATCAAAGCCGTGGCATTAGACCATCTCTCGAGGTCGATCGGTCCGCGAAGGTCCCGCGCCCGAAACTGTGCGAAAACGCAAGGTTAGACAAAAAAACTGAGACCCTCGCGGATCTCGGGGGGGGGTCCAGAAACCCAACGGCCCACGCCTCGCAATTGCTTGCGTCTGGACATCCTGGACACGGGCGCAGAGGCCTCCCTGATGGGGTTGTCGGAGCAGGTGGGGTCGGAGGATCGTGCCGCATCGCCGATGCATCGACGATGCATCGGCGATGTACCAGCGACGTCGGCGAAGCATCGGCGACGTCGGCGTTGAGACTATCGGGCTCCACATCGAGCCGCATCGCCGACGCATCGGCGATGCAGTGCGATCCAATCCACCGACCCCATCTACTCTCAGGTCGGGCAAATCCTCCTACAGGCGGATTGTGGGAAATAGTGGAACATGATAGAAGAATCGTCCCCAGAATATATTTCGATTATTTTCTGGATATTCAGATAAAGAATCGAACTCTATACACCGACGCATTTTCTGGCCCTGCATTGAAATTTGCACTGGGGAACGGATCCTTGTGTATACCGGACCCTGGTGTATACGTGTTTCGTTGTTTCCCTGGGACATCGGGGAAAAAAGCATACACCACACCCGCCCAGCGTCGTCCCCGACCCTCGTAAAGTCCTGGGATTGATAAACAGCCCGCCACTGGTAATGTATATGTTCCAGTTTCCGATATATTCCTCCTGCAGAGAGACGTGCCCGACTCAACTCTGTTCGGACCCCACCTAGGAGGACTGGAGGGCCAGAGAGGGAGGGGACGGGCAGGGGGATGTCCCGGCGGACTGCACAGCGTGAAGGATGGCTGGCAGCATGTGCGTCTCCTCCTCCTCCTGCTCTTCCATCTCCTCCTCCTCCTCCCTCTCTTCCTGCTCCCTCTCCTCCTCCTCCGCCTCCTCCTCGCTTCTGACACGGCACAGCAGGGCCACTCGACGCCCGCGGGGAAGGAGAAGGGCCCCCGCGGACCCCCAAAACAGGCCGAGGAGCGGGGCACGCCTGTTGCTGCGGACGGCCCGGTGGCGGCGCGCGCCGTCCTTGGCGGAGCCCCTCCTGCGGCGGCGCCTGGGGGCACCGTCTGACGGGCGGCGCCTGCGCGGCGGCCACCGCGTGGCGAAGTCGGGCGGGCGGGCAGGAGCACGGGCGCGTCTCGAGGCGGACCCCAGAGCACAACGAACGCGGTTGCGAGCGGCAGGCTGCCGCACTCAGGTCGCCATCGAGCGCCCCGTCGCAACGTCGGCTGCCTTCGTGAGGATACGGTGTGGTGAGGGCATTGGGCGAGGAGCCAGCGGATCAGGAATCCAGGGTCTGGAAGCCAGTGAAACTCCCTTTGTGGGTTGGCCACGGACGTCACCGCCGCCCTCGTTAGAAGAGCAACCCTCCAGGGTCTGCGGCCACCTGGGCACAGCCCTCAACGGACGCCCCCACCGCAGGTGCAGTCAACCCGTGTAATAAGGACGCACGATGGATGAGGATGCAAAGGCCCTGAAGGCCATGCCGACACCTTGCGAGCGGGGCGAGGCCAGCCAAAGCGGCCGAGGCTGGGCCGAAGGGAACGTATGCAGGGGTGTACAATTGGAGAGCTGCTCCTCCTCAGTGCGGGTCGACTGTGGCTCCTCTCCCGGAGGTGAGGGCGCACTTCTTGTTGCCCCCCACCACCCCCACCTATGGCGGACGCGCAGCGGGCGTGCCTCGCCGTCCGCGCCCGGGCCTCCTCCTCCTCCTCCTCCTCCTCCTCCTCCTCCTCCTCCTCCTCCTCCTCCTCCTCCTCCCCCTCCTCCTTCTCCCCGTCCGCAGCTCAGTTTCCAGGCGCGTGCGCCGCAGACAGCCCCCTGGCTGCGGGCGCGCCTCGCCGCCCGCGCCCGGGCCTCCCAGGGAGAGCCACGGCGGCCCGCCCGGCGCGGGGGGGCCTCCAGGCGGCGCGCGGCCGCCGCGGTCGGTCGCGGCGGGGGGGAGGACGGGGTGCTCGCTGTGTCACGGGGGGGGGCTCGGGCGCGTGAGGCGCCGAAACTCGCTGAGATCCTGGCGTCGGGCTCTGAAGGCCCTTGTTGACGTTTTTCGAACGAGGCTGGCCAGCGACAGTCGCTCAGGGTGGGCCGAAGGGGCAAGGATGCAAGGGTACCCTTGGGAAGGTTGCCCATCCTTACTATGCGGTTTGACCGTACAGGGGGTGGGAGAAAGGTGCACTGCTCGGGCCCTAGGAGGGCTCCTTTTGGGGCCCCACAGGGCGCCTTCAGGGCCCCTTTTCTGCAGCCCTCGCTGTCCCACGCCACTGTTGTTCGGCCCCCCCCCCCCCGCCCCCTTCTACGCGAGGACGCTCGAGTCGGGCGGTTCGCCCGATTCCGGGCCCCAGGACCATCACAGATCGAGCAGGCTCGCCAGAGGGCGCAGACAGATGGGGTCTAAACTCAGGTCGGGCATGTCCTCCTACAGGCGGACTTGGGAGGAAAATTCGAAATAGTCGAAAATATGCAACATCAGTCAAACATAAAATAATAATAATAATAATCATAATACTCATAATTATAATAATAATAATGATAATAATAATAATAATAAAGTAATGATAATAGTAATAAGAATAAAACTGATAATAACGCCGTCCCAATACTATGTTTGCCGTATGTTTGAAAATTCCTCCTGTAGACGGACATACCCGACTTCAGTCTAAACAGGGCTCTCTGGCCGTGCCCTGTCGCGATGCTGCACTTTGTTCGTCACGTCGGATCTCAGGGACCGCGTACCCTTCGTGCACCTCGTGGGCCTGCGGCGGCAGTTGCTAGGGACCATCGTGGGGCCACGACCTTGCAACCCTCGATCGCCCCACGTTTATTCTCTTGCACAGCTGTGTTCTAGAGCTCGGATCTTTTTATTTTCGTTGTCGTCGTTCGTTCGTTCGTCGTTCGACCTCCCCCCTGGCCGTCCTGGCCATGCTTTGGACGCGGCCCTCCCCAGCTCGTGGAGGAAGGAGGCGAAAGCATCCTGTCCCTCGCAGCTCTTTGGTGCAAGAGCCAGGGCACGCGTGCCACTTGTTGCCCCCGGCTGCCCTCCGCCCGAAATCCAGGACGCACTAAGCCGGGTCAAAAACCGACGTCCTGCATTTTGTCACGACGCGAGCACGTCTGTGTTAAATGATCCCCGGCGAAATGTGGTGTTCCCGCCCTCCCGGCACCTCTACGCCGCCACTCCACCTTCTGGCCCCCGCCTCGCACAGCTAGAGGCCTCCTCGATGGAGTCGCCGAGCAGATGGGGTCTTCGCTCCGCATCGCTAATATACAGGCGAGACATCGGCGAGGCACCAGCGGCGTTGGCGACGCATCGGCGACGCCGGCATGGAGAAAATCGAGCTCCACATCGAACCGCATCGCCGGCGCATCGGCGATGCGGCGCGATCTTCCGACCCCCTCTGCTCTGGCCCCGTCCGGTAGGCCGAGAATCACTGCGCCGTCTTGCTCCCGTCGCGCACAGCGGGCAAGCGCTGAGCTGACGCACCGCGCCGGGCAGCGCCAGCGCCGCGCGCTCCGCGAACTTCGGGGCGTCCTCCATGAACGACGTGGCGCTCCGCCCGCCGCGCCGCACGGCAGTGCAGCCGGAACATGGCCACAGCGGTGTGGATCAAGAGCGTTGGGCCCCTTTGCCGAGTGACCGATGGCCCGCGGAGCTGCGCCGAACGAGGGCCGCTCCGGAGTGGAGAGCCCAAAAGGCGAAGAACACGAGGGCACCCCTGCGAGGCTTGATGGGCCCATGTGCCACCACCGCTAACATTTGCAGGAGAGGGAGGAGGAGGATGAGGATGAGGAGGAGGAGGAGAAGGAAGAGGAGGAGGAAGAGGAGGAGGAGGAGGACCTCCTCATCCTGTCTTCTCCTCCGACCAACATATAATAGCGGTGGCGGAAAATTTGACCATCAAAACTTGCGTCCATCTTTGGACGCGCGCGCCAGCCGTGCAGCTCTCACGCAGCAGCCGCCCGCTCGCCCCCACCTAGCCCGAAGCCGCCGCCCGCAGGGGGCGCACCGCCGCCGCCCCCGCACTCCTTCGGATGAGCCAAGAAGAAGGACCTCTAACCCTTTGGGAGGGGACCTAAATTAGGAGGGCGAGAAACATTGGGGTGCGGTTGAAGGAAACAACCTTACATCAACAACGCTCCGACGACAAAGAACCGAATTCCCCCCCCCCTCCACCCCCGGGCATTAATATTGGAACGCGGCGTTGCGATCGAGATCTTGAGTTCAGACTTTTTCTAGCTGCTCATCTCCGGGACCAACTGCTCAACAGTAAGGCCGTGGGGGTGCGAGGGGGCGTATCCAAAGTGGTCCCCCAACTCCTGATGCAAAGTTATGTCCTTTAACGGTAGGGGCCCGGTTCTGCAGATGCATCGCACCACGCCGCGCAGATGTACTATCCCTCATGCCAACGCGCGGACCTCAATGAGGCCACGTCTTCACTGTGTTGATAGGGTCACACGACGGTCGGAAGAAGTAGGTAAAAACATGAAGTAGGACCTCCCAGAGAACAACAAACCACATAAAAAAAAAACACGCATCGGTTCTTGAAGTAGGAAGGCGCTTGAAGTAGATTGGGATCTGGGAAGCCAGAAATACCTACTTTCAACGACCAGCGTGTAGGGGCTCTTTTATTCTCGATGACCTTCGGCAGGGGATTCTCGGCGGCCCAAGCGGCGCCGAGGCCCGCCCTCCAGCCGAGGTCGCACGGGTGGCACATCCACGCCACCAGCAGGTACCGCGGCTCCTCGGGAGCGATGCGACGCACAGAGGCATGCTAATACTGTACGTCCTCCCTGGAGGCGCGCGTCCGACCCGAACATATAGTATGCCCATCTTGTAGTATATCGTTTCACGAGCGGTGTGGCCAGAAAGCGCCCGCCACGACGCATGTACTATAAGATTTCTCGATGCGCGCGTCTCCCCTGGGGGGGGGGGGCCGACGCACATATAGTATAAGTATGTTGGGGTGACGCCGAAGCGACGCGAGCGCACATCAAAACATCAAAAAAACCAAGCCCTCGCGGCCTAGACACCGTGGCGCGGGCCCACAGTCCCACGGGTGCGCTCCGCGCGGGGCCCCGCGCAACGCCGCCGTGCATAGAGTTCGGTAGGGCATGTCCTCCTACAGGTGGCCTTGGGATGAACCTTCAAAGTCGTCAGACATTCAAAACTTGTCAACAAAACGCCTGAACATCGTCCCCACAATACGTGGCTAGTCTCGGGTAACCCCCCTGTAGAGGGAGATGCCCGACTGGAGAACACACACATGCACATCAGCCCTTCGAGGTCCGCGCAGATTTCTCGGATCGGCGAGCGGACCCCCCTCCCTGGCGCCGGAGGCACCGCCAGGGGGCACCAGGGCGGGTCGCTCCGAAAGTCTGTGTTTATGCAGCTGCTAATGAGCGAGCAACGACATATGCAGATGTACGCCCTCGACGGTCTTGAGTGCACGAACCTCCGCGTTCAAGCGAACTCCAGCGGAAACTCACCGCACTCCAGCGGAAACTCACCACAAACACACTCCAGCGCACTCCAGCGGAAACTCACCAGCGTTCACTGCTGTTGGCCTCTGAGACGCTTCCTCGGGTGCACCCATGGTGGGGAAACAAACTCTTCACACCGACCCGTTTCTGGCCCTGCACTGAAACTTGCACAGGAAAGCGGATCATGGTGCATAAGGGATCCCTGCGCATACATTTTGTCGCGGTTTCCCGGGGAACGAACAAAAATATACACCACACCACTCCGACGTCGTCCCCGACCCTCAACAGTTCCGGGGATTGAGAAACAGCCCGCCACTAGTACACCCTGCGAAATGCTTTAGAAATCATGGGTTAAGAAATTGATAGTCTCAGAATTTAAATAAAAACCCAGAATGCCCATTCAAATCTTAGGATTCACATTGAAACATTAAGAATAATCGAGACTCTGGCCGAAAACTTAGGTTTTCTTAAGCATCGCCTAAGGTGTACTGTAGATGCTCCTGCTTCCGAGAATGTACCCATGGGGTCGCGGCCAGGGCAGAGCGTGACGCCGCGGCAGGTGGATGTGCTTCCTACCGCCATCGGGCTCCGCCCCGTCGTGCTGGACGCGGTGGACGTAGGTGTCGTCGAACACGACGGCGCGCCCCTCCTGCAGGGTCAGCGCCGGGCGCTGCTCCTCCTCCTCCTCCTCCTCCTCCTCCTCCTCCTCCTCCTCCTCCTCCTCCCTCCTCCTCCTCCCGTCTTCCTCATCTTCCCCCTCATCCCCCTCCTCCTCCTCCCCCGCCTCCTCCCCCTTCCCCCGTCCCCGCCCCCTCCTCCTCCTTCTCCCCCTCCCCATCCAGGGGGGGGGGAGGGGGAAGAAAGATGCACCTTTCGTGCACCACGGACGCCGCCGAACGACGACCACCTTCTGTTGCATCCTCGGGGGACATTGTCTGTCCCGTCGCGGCCCTACCCGCGTCGAATCCGTTCCGAAGCCGTGTCGGACTCGTCGGGTCCGCGTCGAATCCGCGTCGACTCCACGCCAAGGCCGCGCCGAGGCCGCACCGAGCCAGCGTCGGGCACCGGAAAAGACACCAAGTTGTGGGGACAGGCGAGGCCCCCCGAAGATGCAACAGAACGAGGGGTACTCCAGATTTCGTAATAAAGGGAGGGGGGTCTCATTTCGGAGGGGGTCTCTTCCAGGCTATCTTGGAGGGCCTGGGGGGGTCTGGGGAGGATGTTTTGAAGGGTTCTCCCCCGAGGGGGGGTCTGAAATGGCTTGTCTTGGAGGGTCCAGACCCCCTCCCTTTTATTACGAATTCTGGGGTACACCTTCCGTGCACCGCGGACACCGCCGAGCAAGGATCGCCGTGGGGAAAGCGTGGGGCCACGAAGCGATCCGAAGGGGCGAGACGCAAGAACGGTGAGAGAGAGAGAGAGGGAGGTGCACCTTTCGTGCCCCGAAGACACCGCCGAGCAAGGATCGCCGAAAGGCAAAAGTGGAGCCACGACGCGATCCTGAAGGGGCGAAACGCAAAACGGGTTGAAGAGAGGTGCAACGTTTGTGCACCGTGGACACCGCCGGGCAAGAATCGCCGTGAGGCCAGCGTGGAGCCAAGAGGCAATCCAGAATGGGCGAAACGCAAAACGGGTGGAAGAGAAGTGCACCCGTGCACCGCGGACACCGCCGAGCAAGGGTCAGCGCGAAGCCAGCGGGGGCCACAGGGCGATCAGGAGGAGGCGGAACGCAAAAGACGCAGGTCAGTGTCCTGCCAAGGTGGCCGAAAGCATGGCCCGGAATCGGGTGGACGCGAAGAGGGAACAAAGGAAAGATCTCTTCAGGACCCCTGCCCTGCAACCCTCGATGCCCTCGAGTGATCGCCCCCCCCGTGACGAAACGCACGACAGCGCCCAAGGGTGGGACGGCGCTGGAAGATTCGCGAGCCTCCTCCTTTACCTCCTCCATGGGGAGGAGGGGGCAGACGGGGGCCCTCAGGATCATGCCGGGCGTGTCCTTCTACAGGCGTATTTGGAAGAACCATGAAAAGAGTCCAACACAAATGCTCGAAAATATATTGTTCAAAATTATTGGACTAGTTTGGGAAACTCCTCCTGTAGAACGACATGCCCGACGTAACCCAAGGACCCCCTTGCACAGACCCAGGGACCGCCCACGGCACCCCGAGGTGCACACACCAAGAAGGCCCTGCTCGATCCTCGCGCGCCCCCCCCCCGACCCTCGGCGAGGCGGCGGCGGCGGCGCCCTCGGCCCTCTGTCTTGAACTCCGGGGCCCCGAGCCAAAGGAGAGAGAACTGCGCACATACACCGCTCCTGGCCAGGCCCACCCTGAGCCCAGGACCGGTGCGAAACTGATGCCCTCCTGCCCGGGCCGGGAGAGCACTTGCGCCGACCCTGGGCCCCAAATGGAAATGGGCCTGGCCAGAATCGATGCATGTACATAGCTCTCTTCGCCAGACCAAAGACCCTGTGGAGACGGACCGCGTGGTGACCTCGGCGCCCACGGCAACCTCACCGCGGGGCCCGCCACCGCGCGGTCCTGGGGCCCCGGAGGCACCCATGGCTTGTCCAACCCGGCGCGCTGCCCATCCAGCAGCGCCACGACATTCGATGGTGAACCTCTTGGAGACGGGCTCGCCCTGGAGAACCCAACCATCAGGATCCCAGCTCGCTTCACCCAGCCATGGGGATACTGCAGCCTCCACCCTCTCTTTGGTGACGAGGTTGGCACATCTGATGACGAGGACCGTCGGGTCGATGTCGCGCTCGAAGTCCCTGTTGACCACCGTGCTGGCGGCCTCGGAGACGGAAGTGTTCTTGACCGTGTTGAGCTCGATCTTGAGGGCCTGGATCTCCTGCTGTAGGCCTCCAAGCGTATTCTCGGCATTGTCCATTCCTCCTCTCGATGGCCCCGAAGCGCTCGTGGACGCTCTTGCCGAAGTTGTTGAAGCACTCTGTGACCTGGGTGCCGAGGGCGGAAATCGACCCTTGCATGGCCTCGATGCGGGGCATGATGTTGTCAACATGAGCGCGCAACTCAGCACCATCAGACTTAGACAATGAACGAGTCGGCGAGCGGGAGCCTCCATCACAGCGTCCGCTGGATCCGCTGGATCTGCGCGGCGGCAGTTTCATTCCCTGATCCGCTGGCCGCAGCACTCATCGAGCCAGGCGGCCCTGGCAGAGTGGGAAGGATGGGAAGAGTGAGAGTAGGGTATGTGGAGTGTGTGGAGAGAATGTCCGCCCCATTCTGGCAGGAGGATCGCTCACTGCAGAGGGCTGCCACACCCAGGAAGGATGTCTTGAGGCAAAATGGCAACGGACCTCCTCCTCCTCCTCCTGCTCCTCCTGCTTGATCTCGTCCTCCTCCTGCTCCTCCTGCTCCTCCTCCTCCTCCTCCTCCTCCTCCTCCTCTTCCTCCTCCTCCTGCTCCTCCTCCTCCTCCTCCTCCTCCTCCTCCTCCTCCTCCTCGTTTTCCGTTGGGGGGCCCCAGGATCCTCCCACACCACCACCTCGTCGGCCACCACCATGTGCGCCCCCGGGGGCGTCCGAAGGCCCAGGTGCGCCGCCAGGCGCGGGTTCGTGTCGAAGTGGGGCCGGAGCTCGGCCCCGGGCAGCAGCCGCGCCAACGCCGCCCCGGCCAGGTAGGTCTCGCACCTCGGGCATCGCTTCACCAATCGCTATCCCCACTTGCGTGGCTGTGACCCCCGTGGCCAACCTGCGCAGCGGGGTGCGGAGATGTGGTCCAGGTCCCGCGCCTCGCACCCCGACCCCACCCCACCCCACATGGGGGATTCGCTACTCGCCCCGCCGCGTAGGAACCGCCGTTCGTGCGCTGACAGCCAGATGTGCTGTCTGTATATTACCTACATGCATCGCTCGTTGCAGATGCCACATCTGGCAACTATAGATGTGGAAAAGCACTGCCACTGAGATCTCCATGGTTGACATCAGAGTGAAAAGTCTCACAATCATATTCACTCGGGCAATCATCGCATATGAGATCAATGTGTATGCAAGTTGACACTTGATGTTCATTGTGATGATCTTCCAGATGAAGCGCCGTGGGGCCGCAGAAGCTTACCAGAAAAACGAGGGAAACAAGAACAGCAGGAAGCAGCCTGTGTTTTCACATGGAAGGAAATAATAAATGGAAAGAAGCGGCAAAAAACAATGTGTTTGTATGTGTTGTGCCAATTGAAAGCTGACAGTCACAGTTTGTCTTCAGTGTCTCCTATTTTCCATGTGAAAGATACGCCCTCCCCAGTTTAGGTTGTAAAGTTGTTCCTGGTTTTCCTTGTGCCTTGTGAAGACACAAGCTGTTCCATGTGTTGCCTATTTTCTCCGCTGTTCCTACCTTCCGCGGCCCCATGACGCCGCCTCTGAAAAATCCATCCCAATCAAAATCAAGTCGTTATTGAATTACGAATTGATTACATTTGTAGGGGATGTACATATTGAGTTTGATTTTGGGGAATTTCAAATGAATTTCTTTTTGTAACGCCTTTACAAGAGGATTCTTTCTGTGGCGACATTACAAACGGCTTTTACGAGTGGAAGATCTGCAGTGGCCTCCAACATTAGAATCTTTGTGTAGCAGCCTGTACAAAGGAATTACTTTTTGTGGTCGGTGCAGGGAGGAGAGAGGAGGATGGAAGGAAGGAGCGAGGGAACGCGGGAACGTCTCGTCAAAACGAGGACCCAACACCACAGGATGGTTGGGAGAAAAAGAAAAGGGAGATGAAGAAGAACGAAGATGACGAACGTGCATGATGAGTAAACTGATGACCCATAACGTTCCAATCGCTAGGAAATCGATAAAACATGCCTTTTGTAATCATGCAAACAGCGGGTGAGACCGCCCCCCCCTGCCATCGTCGTCTTCGCCTCCATGTGAGTGTGGCGTGGTGTTGCAGTGCTTCAGGGAGCGGGACGCAGTCGTCGTAGCCGTCATCGTCGTCGTTGTCGTCGTCGCCGTCACCTCCCTCGTCATCGTCGTCGCCGCCGCCGCCGTCGTCGTCGTCGTCATCGCCGCCGTCGTCGTCGTCGTCGTCGTCGTCGTCGACGTCGTCGTCGTCGTCCTCGTCGTCCCCGCCCCCATCCCATCCGGGGAGGGGGACGGGGGGGGGGAGAACCCGTGCGAGCGGAAAATCCGACTCGGGTGAGCTGGCCCGAAGGCCCTTCGCGGTGCATCGACAATTGAAGCCGAAGCCAAACTCCTCCTCTGCCTCCTTCTCCTGCTCCTGCTCCTCCTCCTCCTCCTCCTCCTCCTCCTCCTCCGCCCCTCCTCCTCCTCCTCCTCCTCCTCCTCCTCCTTCTCCTCCTCCTCCTGCTCCTCCTCCTCCTCCTCCTCGAACTCCACCTCCTCAAAGGGCCCCCACAGCAGGTTTGGTGAACAGCACATCGTCGAGCGGTGCTGCAGCCTCCGGGGAGGGGGAGGGGGGCCGCGGCACCCCGGGGAGTTCAGGTTTTTTTTTGAAGGGCCCGCGGGCCCAGGAGCCCTGGAACATATGTACGCCTATCGTCAGGTCGGGCATGTCCTCCTGCAGGCGGATTTCTGAGGGAAAATTCGAATTAATCTAAAACATCAAAATTATATAGTATTCCAAAATAACGGGGGAAACAAATCCCCAGACTGTTTTAAGCATTCCTCCTGTAGAGGGGCATGCCCGACCTGAGCCTATTATTGCTAGTTATGGGTTTCGCGGGGCGTACGGTTGGGAACTTCGGCTCAGCGATCTCGCGGCGGCGGCCCCGTCTCCGCGGGGCGGGAGGCTGGGAGAGGCCCGGGACGCTGATGCCTCCGGACCGGGCCGCGGCTTCAATGCCGCGCCGAGGCGTGGTGGACCAGAACGGGCGGCGCGACGAGCGGAAGCAAACGCTCCAAACCGTGCAATCACCGGATCGGCCTTGGCCCCACGGACCGACCTGCCCACCCCGGTGGGGATGTGTGCCCGTCCGTTCGGTCGGGTCTCGCGGTAGGTCGGGCATGTCCCCCTACAGGCTGAGCTTGAAACAAATATCAAAATATGCAAAACAGAAACGAAAACATAACAACAAAACCTCGAATACTCGTCCCCGGGCTATGTCTTGACTGTTTTTGAATGTTCCTCCTGTAGAAGGGGCACGCCCGACTGACTTGACCTTGGCCCCACGGGCCGACCTGCCCACCCAGGTGGGGAGACGTGTGCCCGGTCGCCCGGGTCTCGCGGGGCCCCTCCCCACCCAGGGAAGGGTGGGCCAGTGGGGCCGAAGACGCCATGGCCCAGTGCGGGTGGGAACACGGTAGAGGCCCGACCCTCCTCCTGCTCCTCCTCCTCCTCGTGCTCCTCCCTCCTCATCCTTCTCCTCCTCCTGCTGCAGTGGAGGCTAATCCACGAGAAACCTTCCACACAAAAAAAACAACCCTGAGACCCCAGGACGTCCATTGAATTCTGGTGTGGGAGCGTCACGCATGCCATCGCAAAACCATCGAAACTAAAGAAACCCAGGGCACCCTGGAGGCAAGCAGGGTGCTTCTTGGAATGGGTCTCCACTGGAGGTTGGGCGATGCTCGCACTTGTCGGGAGAGCACAGCGACAAGGTCCAGCAGTGCACAGTCAAGAGCAGACAAAAAGTGGAGCATGAGGAACCAGATCTCTGACGATGTGATAATTTCGAATGCATGTGTTTCCTTGATATGGGCATACGGCGCCGCTATCGGGACCCAGGGCCATCAATAATGATCCGGGTCGAATAACTGACCCAGGGGAAAGGGTCGGGAGCTCTGGGGCAGCGCCAAGCCCCAGCCCCAAGAAACCTCAAAGAGAGGCTCCGAATGGGCTACAAGAGGCCTCTCGTCCATGACCCAGGCAGGGTGGCGGGATGGACCATATGCCACGAGGCGCTTCTGCGACAGCGATCAGGGATGCCTCCCAACCGAGTAGCAGTAACTGAGCACGGAGAATCGTGTCGCATCTGTGATGCATCGGCGCCGTCGGCGTGAAGGAAAGCGGGCTCCACATCGAGCCAAATCGCCGGCGCGCAGCGGCGATGCGGCGCGGCTCTCTGACCTCATCTGCTTGAACCCCACTTGGGAGGCCTGCGAATCACAACATGCAGTGTAGGTCGCAGGCGGAGAACATCCGCCGCCGTGCCTCCGGGCACGTCAAGCCTGCCAAAGAGGCCCCCGAACAGCCCCCCAAGGTCTCCAAGAGGCCCAAGGAGGCCCCCAAGATGCCTCCAAGAGGCTCCCAGGAAGCCCCCAGGAGGCCCCAAGAGTTCCCCCAGAGGCTCCCAAGATGTCCCCTCCTTTTTTTTCTTCCTCCTCCTGATTTTTCCCCGCCGTCCTCCCCCAAGCTCCCCCAAGTGGTCCCCGAAGGGTTTCCACAGCGGCTGGGGGAACACATGGTCCGATAACTTGGCGGAGCTCTTGCCACATCGTTCGGCCACTTGGGCGATTCCAACAGGCAGGGTGCGGCGGTGATTCGCCGTAGGCATCTTCGATATATCCATGTCCACGGCCTCGCAGGCCTGGATACGCGCCCCGCCCTGGATATCCATATGCCTGGGCTGCGCCCCCTTGAATACGAAGCATTTTTCGCTGATGCCCGGCACCGAACGCATCCTTGCGACAGCGCATCCACGGGATCGCGCCCCGGAATCCAGACCGAGAGAGCGTGAATGTGAACATGCTCGCCGCTTGTGAAAAGATGCGCCCCCTGAGCACCGACTGTTGATCTCCGACCGGGTCGCCAGTAGCTCGCAGCTGCGCCGCAGCCAAGGTGTCAGGCCGCACCAGTCCGTCATGCCGCCCGAGTTGACCAGGTCGACGCGGGACCAATCCTCCGGCTCACGAGCCAGCCGGTCACCCTGCTGCAGACCGACGGCGCGGAACACCTCCCCGGCCGGGTCCGCCGCGAGCAGCTCCTCCAGGGCGCTGCGGAAGGTGGCGTGGTGCTCCTCCAGGAAGCACGCGAACGGCGGCCAGCTCGGCCTGCTCCAGACGGGCCAGTGCGAAGCGGCGGGGAAGAAGTCGCGGTTCTGGTTCAGCCGCAGCGGACTCGCGGTGTCGTGGTGGCGGAAGAACGGCAGAGCCCCCACGCTCGCCAACAGCCGGGAGGTCCGGCGCAGTGCGCCCGCGGCACGGGGCAGGTCGCGCAGGCCGACGGCCAGGTGGTGGCCGAGCTCCGCAGACACCATCAGCAGGCACCGCCAGCGCCAGGGGCACTGCCTGGCCATGAAGCCCGCGTCGTCAGGATGCCCCTCGGCCTTGTGGCAGCCCGCATGCTCCACCGCGCGCTCGTGCAGGGCGAGCGCAGAGGAGCAAGAAACTGCACACACACACACACATAAACTGTTGGAGGTCCGCGCGGATCTCTTGGATCTGAACTGGTGCCCCACCCCAGGGGCGGGGCAGGAGGCGCCTCCAGGGGGGCCCAGCGCAGATCCAAGAGATCTGCGCAAACCTCCCAAAGTGTGCTGTTATGCTGCTTATGGGAAGTGCGCATATACGCTGAGGAATCTGGGCCCTGTCCCAGGGGGCCTCGCAGAGACAACGCAAGGCAACGTGTAGCATGTAATCCCCTGGCCGGTTCTCCTGGCGGCAGGTGTCCGAAAAAAATTGCACTGTGCTTGGGCCGACAGTTGCCGCTAAGTGGTGGTCAGACTTCACCATACAGTCAAAGCTTGCATGAAGGACGGGTGGCAAGGGCGCAAGACCCTTGGAGGCCGAAGTTGGGTTTGTTGGGGGGCGGCGGGCGACCAGTCAAAAAAGGCAAAAGACGAGCCGCAGAGGCAAGAACACAAGGGAACCCCAGGTGGAGGCGCGCGTCCTTACAAGGCACGCGTACGTACTGGCCCCGAGCTTCTTGCTCCTCCAGAGCACCGCGAGGCCCACGTCCACGCTGGGCCCCCGCGGCGACCCGCCTGGCGCGGGCGCCAGGTGGGCGGACCCGCCCCACCAGAAGTAGCCGAGCAGCGCGTGTCCGACGGCCAGCGCGAGCGCCTGTGACGGGGCCCTGGGAGACACACAGCCTGCCATCGCTCGGACGTCCATTCCTCTTGCATTTGTCAGTTTCGTGCGTGCTCCTTTTGCCAGATGATCCAAGATGCTCACCGATCGCCCTCGCCGAGAAAAAATGCACACGTCCGAGCGGTACCAAGCACATCAGAGTGGAGGGGGCCGAACGGTCACTCACTGTCCCTAGGCGCGTGGCTGAAGTGGCTTTCCGCAGTGCGGATTGTTGTTGCGTCGATGTTGTCGTTGTCCTCGCCCGCGACACCCCCGCGACCCACCCGCGACCCACCCGCAACCCACCACCGACCCACCACCGACCCATCCACGTTGAAGCTTTGACGAAACAATCGGCGCCTGCGGCGGGCTGATTGTGTAATGGCCTGCGGCGGGCTTCTTCAGAGACTCGCAGACTGCTGACGACCCCGCCGCCCCCTCACTCTTCTCCGTAGTGGCGAGGGGCCGCGCAAAGCGGCACAAAATGCTAGGGGGGCCGTATATCCCTATATTTCCTGGAGCTGCCTCTTCTTCTCGGCGGCGCCGATAGGGGCGAATAGCCCAGGGGCGGGCATTACACGCATTCGCCCGGGAACCTTGTCGAAGACATAGATCATCGGCACCCCTGGGTACACGTATTGCCCCCACCTGGGCTATTCGCCCCGATCGTCGCCTCCGATCTTCTCCAAGTCCTACATTAGTGACCACGATGGAAACCACCGCAACCGCAAGTTCACAAAAAGATTCCAGGACGGGCGCAATCCCAAATTTACATGGCAGCGTTTCGCACTTGCACTCACGGTTCACTCTGCACTGCGCGCAGCGCATGCAATTACACGCGCCTTCGCCTTGCAAACATCACCCCAGGAACCATCTTAATAACACCAAAGGTGACCTGTGGGACCTGCGGGACCTGTGGAACCTGCCGGAATTGGGAGAAATGTTGGGAGCGTGAGCCCTGTGGAACTTGTGGGAGCTGTGCGGGCTGCGGTAGCTGTGGGACCTGAGGGACCTGCGAGACCTGTGGGACCCTTGGGACCTGTGGGACGCGTGGGCCTGGTGGGACCTGTGGGGCCTTCGAAATTGCAAAACTTGTCGTCCCTGCGAGACCTGTGGGACCTGTGGGACCTGCGGGGCTTGCGCCACCTGCGACACCTGCCTGACCTGTCGGACCTGTAGGACCTGAGGGACTCGTAGGACCTGTGGGACCTGCAGGACCTGCGATACCAGTGGGACCTGTGGCGCCTGTGGCACCTGTAGGCCCCGTGGGACCTGCGGAACTTGCGGGGCCTGCGGGACCGGCGCGACATGTGGGACCTGTGGGACCTGTGGGACCGGAGGGGCTGGGTGGACCTGTGGGGCCTGTGGGACCTGTAGGGCCTGAGGGGCCTGTGGGGCATGCGTCGCCTGTGGGACGTGTGGGACATGCGGGACCTGCGCGACCTGCGAAACCTGTGGGACCTGCGGGTCCTGCGGAACCTGCGGGACCTGCGGACCCCGTGGCCCTTGTAGGACCTGTAAGCCCTATCGGGCCTGTGGGACCTGTGGGGCCTTCGGGGCATGTGGGACCTGGGGGGACTGGGACTTGCGGGGCCTGCGGGACTTGCCAGACCTACGAGGCCTGCGGGGCTTGCGGGACTTGTAGGACCTGTGGGACATGTGGGGCATGTGGGACTTGTGGGACATGTGGGATATGCTGGGCCTGCGGGATTTGTGGGACCTGCGCGACCTGCGGGACTTGTGGGACTCGTGGGACCTGTGCTGGCGGCGGGACCTGTCGGACCTGCGGGACCTGTGGGACCCGGGGGGCCTGTGGGACCTGTGGGACCTGAGGGACCTGGGAGACCTGCGGAACCTGTGGGACCTGTGAGAGCTGCGGGACCTGCGGGACATGTGCGACCGGTGGACCTGCGAGAACCTGTGAAACCTGTGGGGTCATTCATACCTGTGGGACCTGTGGCACCTGCGGACCTGCGGGACCTGCGGGTCCTGTGGGACCTGTTGGACCTATGGGTCCTCTGGGACCTACGGGACCTGTGGGAATTGCGGGACATGCGGGACCTGCGAGACCTTTAAAACCTGTAAGACCCGTGGGGCCTGCGGAACCTGTGGGACGTGCGGGACCTGCATGTGGGACCTGTGGGACCTGCGGGGCCTGCGGGGCCTATGGAGTATGCGGGACTGGCGGGTCCTGCGCGACCTGCGAGACCTGTGGGAAATACGGACCCTGTGGATCCTGTGGGGCCTGCGGGACCTGTGGGGCTTGTGGGACCTGTAGGACCTGTGGGACCTGTGGGACCCAGTGGGACCTGCGGGACCTGCGGGGCCTGCGGGGCCTGCAGGACCTGCGAGACCTGCGCGACACGCGGGACCTGCGGAACCTGCGGAACCTATGGGACATGTGAAACATGTGGGACCTGTGGGGCCTGTGGGACCTGTGGGGCCCGCGAGGCCTGTGGGACCCTTGGGACCTGTGGGACGTGTGGGACCTGTAGGACCTGCGAGACCTGTGGGACCTTTGGCACCTTCTTTGCGACTTGTGGGTCCTGTGGGACCTGTAAGACCTGTAGGACCTGTGGGACCTGTGGGACCTGCGGGACCTGTGACACCTGCAAGACCTTGGGACCGGTGGGATCTGTTGGGCCTGAGGGACCTGTGGGACCTGTGGGACCTGCGGGACCTGCGGGACCTCCGGGACCTGTGGCACCTGTGGCACCTGTGCGGCCTGTGGGACCTGCGGGACCTGCGGGACCTGCGGGACCGGCGAGACCTTCGAGACCTGCGGGACCCGTGGGACCTATGGGACCTGTGGGACATCCGGGACACGTGGGACCTGTGGAACCTGTGGGACCTGTGACCGCCGAGGACCCAAATAAGGCCCTGAATTCTGGGACCGCCAGGCACCCAAGTAAGGACCTTACTTGGGACCCCGGGAATTCCTTATTAAATTTGGTGGATCGACAATTGTCTCGCACTTTGGGACCATCGAGGCCCCCCGGGGGGCATTTATTAAGGAACCAGAAGTTTCCTTACGTCCACCATGTTTTCTTGGAGCGGAAAGACCCAAAGTTCAAACGTCCCGGCGTGGCCGTCGGAGGCCCCCAACCAGCCACCCAGCTTGGAAACGCGCGGCAAATGTTTCGCCGAGGCTGAACGCGACTCTGCTGCCGTCGCCACCGTAGCTGCACTGCATCCGGTGATCCACTGGCCTCAGGGCCCCGAAGAGTAAGCCTCCCAGCGGTGTCCTGACGACCTCCTGGAATCTGGGGGGAGACCGCCGGGGGACCTCCCCTGGTCCTCTTGGGGGCCTCCCGCAAACTTCCACAAAGGGGGCTGGGAGGTCTCCCAGAAGTTTTTTCTGGTCCTTGCAAGCCTGCTGGGAATCCTCCCCGAGGACCAGGGTCCGGGAGCCTCCCCCAGACCTCGAAATCTGGCAGGGCTCCCTCCAAGGGGAAACTTCCGGGGAGACCAGGGGAGGCCCCCTGGAAACCTCCCCTGGTCCTCCCGGGCCGCTGGGGGGAAACTTGGTGGAGGACCAGGTGAGGTCTCCTGGAAGTTTCCCCTGGTCCTCCCGAAAGCCTCCCACAGGAGACCTCCCCCCCTGCGGGAACTCTCATCGGAGGCTTCCAGGTGAACCAGGGGAAGCCTCCCAGAGACCTCCCCTGGTCGTCCCGGAAGCCTGGGGGAGGCCTCGCCTGGTGCTCCCAGGGGCCGCGGGAAGCCTCTCGCCACACCTTGTGGAAACCAAGGGAAGCCTCCGGAAGGCCTCCCCGCGCCCTCGGGGGGATCAGGGGGAGGTCTCCAGGAGAACCAGAGGAAGTCTGGTGGAGGCCCCCTCCACCTCGCCGGAGGAGGGCCCGCTGGGAGGTCTGGTCGACGTGGAAGGGGGGCATCCCACCAGACCTGTTGGAGGTGGAAGGGAGGTCTGGTACCAGACCTAGTGGGGTTGGGGGTAACTGAAGACCCAACCCAGGCAAAGCAAGAAAACCAGCATGGAGGCGAACGCGGCCCAAGACGGCACCAAGATACCCACCAGGCAACTCACGACGGCCCAAGAGGGCCCCTAATGTCCCAGATAGCCCCATATACGACTCAAGAGTGTCCCAGGAGGCCCCCATGACAACCCGACAGTAACCCATGACATACCACATGTTGTCCATGTGTGCCACGTGAGAACCCCAGGAGACGCAATAATGAGATAAGGAAAACGACATGGAAAAAGGGAGGGTGACAACATGGGGGACGTGGGAAGGGGGAGGGCGACGACGTAGACGAAGGAGTGCGCCCCGAAGCGGCGCGGAAGAGCGCGTCACATGTTGCGGCCCTTGCAAGGCTATGGGCGACGACATGTCGCGCGTTATGGCTTTCGTGGCGGTGCTCGAAGACTCGCCACGCCGAGTGCTGCGCGGTCGCGGTGCGCGGGACTTGCCGCGAACAGATCGGCATGACGCACGCGCCGTGGTTTCTACCACAACCGCGCGACGCGTATGATTTGTCAACAATGTCGCGCCCTCCACGAGCGGACCGGGCCCTCCACCTTGAGACGTGCGCAATAAAACACCATCAAAACATAATGCGAGTGGACGAGGGGGAAAGCAACCAGAAGAGGTCGCGCGAAAGGTGGACAACAAATGAACAATGCTCACAAAAAAATCACATGCGCAAGCGCCCAACGAAACAAACTTATAGACACTCCAACAATTTGGCGTGCCGCGAAGAAGGGAAAAGGGGCGGGGGGCCCGCGTGCCCACGAGGAACAAACTTAACGGCATGGTAATCGCTACTGGACACGCCGTCACGCAGAGCCGCTCTGACAACACACACGCACACGGGCGCATCATCGCGCAAAAGCGGCCGAACCACGCCGCGCGAAGCATCGCTGCGCCAAGGCGATCCGCCCATGCAAAACACGCGCAAATGGCATCCGAAAAGAGCGTTACGCGCCGCGCAAACAAATATGGCGCGGTGCCGCAACAATCAGGCGGCTACGAATGTAAACTCCTCTGAACTGCGCGCACGCGCGTCGTGTTAAACAGGCCGCGCCGCGCAGGCACGCCACTCGGTCTCGCGCCAGCACGTCGAAGGGAAGGTCTGCGGGAGACGCTCTGCAAGTGGCAATGAAGCAACCCCACGAGAACGCGATACATGTGAAATCGAAGCACGTGCCAACAATAACCGCGACAACAGAACAACCAACAAAAAATCATTTTAAAGAAACATCCATAACTTCCGGTTGCGGTGGTTTCTTGCGCGGTCAATTAGCCCGTCTATTTTTCTCCGGCGCGAATGACCCGAGGAGCAAGCACACCGTGTCCTCCAGGGCCCTCTGCACCCAGCGCGAAAGACCGATCCGCTACAGCCACTTCGGACAGACGCAGCGTGTGTGTGCGCAACCCTGACGGCTGCCAGCCATTTCTGCTTAATATATGTGTATATATATATATGTGTATATATACATTCCTCTTCCTATATCTTTTTAAGCCTGGGCGGGGGGAAAACCCCCCACCCCCCCAAAACCGAACTCCCGGGATCTGGGGCTTTGGGACCCTCCAGACGGGCCTCGACGCAGCCCCCCGGGCCTCGCAGGGCGATTTGCCCAGCACACCTAATTAGGGCGATCAGGGGGGTCATCGGAGACGTCTCAGAGACCCCCAAGACAGCACAAGAGCGCTCCAAGAGTGACCGACGTGACCTCACGATAGCCCAAGAGGCCTCCAGGACGGCCCCAAAGAGGCCTCCAAGAGCACGCCCAAGAAGGCCCCAAGAGGCAAAAATAATTGATTTCCTGTTGGTTTTTTGGAGAAGTTTGGGGTTCTCCTCTTTTCGGCTTCCCGACGCTCCAAGACGGTGGTCTTCTGGGCGTCCGAAGCCGCCTGGGAGGCTCCAAAATCGCCCCAAAACCATCCGAAAGGGCTTCCAAGCAGTCCAAGAGAGCCCCAAAACGGCAGCACAACACGGGTCCAAGATGGCCCTCAGAGAGCCCCATGGCGGCCCAAGATGGCCCCAAGATACCCTCCGAAGCATTCCAAATCGTGACCCGGTCGTTCAGGGAGACCGCGGTTGGAGGCAGGGTGGCCCGAGGAAGCCCCTAGAGGCTCCCAGAATACGCCCAGGAGGCCTCCAGAAGGCCTTAAGAAAGCCTGAAACAACTTTTGTGATGCCCCCAGAGGCTCTCCCAGGAGGACCCTCCGCAAAAAAGAACTGAGGAGGATGGGGAGAATGCGCAGGGTATGGCGAACATGAAGAAAAAGAAGCATGGAGGAAAAATAACGAAGAACATTAGCGGCGATGCCGGAACAGGCAACAAGGAGTTATTGCTAAAGTGCCAGCTTGACCTTCCTGCTATTATTCCGCCTGAATACCAAACTTCAAGGACCAAGGTGCATGGCGCGAAGCACCACTGCAGTCTTGTATGTATGTATATATATATAAATATATATATATATATATATGGAGCACACGATCCCCCGTTGCGCCTGTTCGTGCGGACTTCTCCCGCCCAGAGCCTGGTGCGAGGCCAGCGCCAGCGCGGCGAGCCGCAGCAGCAGCCGCAGGGCGCCGTCTCGAGCGCCCGCGGCGTCGCCAGCGCTGGCGCCAGCGCTCTCGGCGAAGAGCTGCGCCAGCCACTGCTGCAGCAGGGACAGCGCCAGCTGCTCCTCGCTGCGTTCGTGGCCCTGCCTCGTGGCTGTCAAAATCGGCGGCGAGCGAGGGGGAGAAGTGAGAAGGAGAAGGCCTTCTCAGTAGAATCGGAAATCCCCTGGCCTTCTGAGAAGTTGTTTCTAAGTCTTCCCTGGAGACACAACACACTTCTCAGAAGGCGCGAGGGCTTCTGAGAAGTCCCGCCGCCTGCCGAGAAGGCCTTCTCCTTCTCATGTTCCCCCCCTCGCTCGCCGCCGACACAAGACTGAGCAGCGCTTTACCGATTCCTGTCCCCACTGGCGTGGTCTAGGGCCCGCTGGCCGATGTACCCTCCTGGATGGGGATCTGGGCGGTCCCCTTCGGGTCTCGAAGGGCATAAATCCCCAACTGGGGTGGTGGGATTGTGGGAATCGGGATGGAGATGTGGATGGGGATAGGGATCGGTTAACCGAGACTGAAAGACCCAGAGATCCTGGCGTCGCATTTTTGTTCGAGTCTGGCGTGCCCAGGCCGTGGGACCATCACAAGTCGATCCAGCTTGAGACATGGCGTAGAATGATGGGGTCTAGGCTCTGGTCGTGATGTTTGCTTTACGTTTTTTTCCACTTTGTCGCGACGTCGGATCTCAGTGAAGGCTGCCCTCCCACGCAGATCGATCGGACCACCCAGGCGCAAGTGGTCGAACGGACCGAAGCGAGCCCCACCTGAGGAAGACGCACGTCGCCCCTGGAGGCGCGTGCGGCAAGATGAAAGAACAGCGCGCACTCAAACTCGGGGATGGACAGACCCCCCTTTAGTAAAACGTGGTTTAGTGAAAACGACCTGAGGCCCAAACCTGGCGGGCGCAAGCCTGGAAAAAAACGGCCACGGCGCCCTCTCGAGAACCGAAAACGGACAATTCACTAATCGACGTGTCACTGTTGGGGGTTCTGTCCACCCCCGACAAACTCATAGGGAGGCGGAAGGGGAGCGAGGAGAGAAAGGCGCCGTGGGTACGGGTGCAGCCTGCCGGGCCCACGAGGGGGGCTCCCTCTCGGGCGGGGGCTCCCCTCCGACAACACACACACAAACTCAAACCCGTACCCAGACCCCCGACGTCATGATTTTCTCATGACGCGACCCCCAGACCCAGACCCCCTCGAGTAATGAAAAAATCACGACGAGAGGTTTTTCGCTATTTTCGGCCTCTGGGGACCCTCACCGGCCCTCAAGACCGTCAAAAAACGACTCAGGATGAAAAGCCGGTCCCGGGGAAGGGGTCCGGACCTCTGCGGGTCGCGTCATGAAAAAATCATGACGTCGGGGGTCTGGGGAGGTCTGGACCCCTTCCCCGCGGGGACCGGCTGCTCATCCCGAGTCGTTTCTTGACGGTCCTGAGGGCCGGTCAGGGCCCCTCTGGAGGCCGAAAATGGCGAGAAACCTCTCGTCGTGATTTTTTTCATGCCTCGAGGGGGTCTGGGTGATTAGCCCCAGCAGAGGTCCACCCCGAGAAGTCCAGGGGTCGCACAGGCACGGCATGGGGCCCGGCTGCCGGCTCGTGGCGGCGGCGGGCTGCCCTGCCACGGCGACGGCGCGGAGAGCCACCGGGCCTCCGTCGCAGCGCCGGGGGCCCGCGGAGGCCCCAGGGAATCGGAGCAGGGCGCGCCGAGAGACGACCCCGCCGACCTGCACCCTCCGCGCCTCCCTCGCGGCCGCCGCCGTGGCCGCCGCGGCGGCTGCGGCGGCCGCCGCGGCCACATCGTTCCCAGACCCCCTTGAGTAATGAAAAAATCACGACGAAAGGTTTTTCGCTATTTTCGGCCTCTGGGGGCCCTTACCGGCCCTCAGGACCGTCAAAAAACGACTCGGGATGAAAAGCCGGTCCCCGGGAAGGGGTCTGGACCTCTGGGGGCCGCGTCATGAAAAAATCATGACGTCGGGGGTCTGGGTTGGAGGCCTGGAAATTGGCACCAACACCAGCCCAGGGGGTTGCCTCCACAGGGGGAAGTTGATCCCAGATCTCGGTGCTGGTGGCCATATTTCGGCCACCCTGGAAGCCAGAACAGTACCACCATCACCGAGATCGGGATCGTCTTCGCTCAGTGGAGGCACACCGCCGACCTTGGTGTTGGTGTCAACCTCTAGGCCTGCGACATCGCGGCCGCACCTTCCGCGCGGCAAGTGTGGAGGGTGCAGGCCGGGGGGACGGCAGCTCGCAGTCGATCCCCGTGATCCCTCCACGGGGCCCGCATCAGTGCTCCCAGGCTGCGCCGCGGCTTCGCGCCCGGGGCCCAAATGGGAGGCCAACCACACAACGTTGCCTCAGCTCGCCCTCCTCAGCCGAGAAGCTACCCCTGCCCCTCAGACTGACAAGCCACAAGGCCATGACAATCAAATCGGTATGCGTCCACGGAAGCTAAGGTGATCCTTCAGATCGGCATCGGGGTCTCTCAGCGCCAGGGGCGACCCGAGGCCCCCGTCGCGGCGAGGACCCATCCCTAGGTAGGCCATGTCCACCTGCAGGCGGATCGTGCAAGAAAAGATACTCAACAAATGTTCAAAACTATTCAAACATGGTCGAAACATCGTCCCGTGATTATTTGTTTGGCTGTCTTCGGATACTCCTCCTGAAAGGGGACATGCCCGACTTACCGCCAGGGGCGGCCCGAGGCCCCCGTCGCGGCGAGGACCCGTCGGGAGCGATCTCCGCCAGAGGCCACCCCCGGGGGGCCGCCGGGGCTCCGCCGGGCGAGCATGCCACCGCGCCGCGCTGCCGCCGCGCCCCGACCGGCCGGTCGGCTGGCCGGCACAGCTGAGCGCCGACGCCCAAGCACCGACCGACAGCAACCGGACCCACCGACCCTGACCGAGACCTCCTCTGGTCGTGAACAGGTCGCGACGGAGGGTGTTTTTTGCTACGTTCGGGCCCCGGGGGGCCCTCGCCGGGCCCCAGGGCCGTCAAAGGTCGACGTGGACTTCTCCGCAAGTGAAAAATCGAAACATCCATGGGTCGTGCAAAAATCGCAACGAACGGTTTGTTGCAGGATCGAGACACATTGGGCGTCCATGTTATAGTTAAATCACGATGGCGAGTCTGGAAACGTACCCCGACAGGAGTTGTCTCAATCCGCGGCCCCTGGAGGTCCCGTCCGCTTCCCCCAGATATCTGACCCCGTCCCCGGGTCCTGTCGTTCATCCCGAGTCGCTTTGACGGGGAAGCCGAAAACTGCAACACAACGACCTACGAGTTTCTTGAATGACTTGAATGGGTGGGCTGTAGTGGTCGGTTCGACTTGCAACACTTGCAAGAACTGCAAGGTGGTTGCACCCCACTTGGCCGCAACCACCGTGCACCTGGGGCAGGTCACAGCGATCACTGCAGCGGGGACCGGGCGCCCGAACCCGTGCTCGGATGGCTGCCGCGCGCGGTGCCTCGACAGCGCCGTGACGCAGTCCGGCAGCTGCTCGACGCAGGCGGCCAGCTCGGCGCCGCCCAGCCCGCCTGGGGCAGCAGGAGGTACCGACACACTGGCCATCGCTCGGACGTCCATTCCCTGTGCTTTTTGGGGTTTCGTGCGTGGTTTTTTCGCCAGATGATCAAGGATGCTCCTCGATGGTCCTCGCCGAAGGAAAACGCACACGTCCGAGCGATGCCAAGCACAGTGCGAAGCCTGGCCACAAGAGCGCGGGTCAAGAACACGAGCCACTCCGCCGAGCGCCCCGTGGAGGGACCCACAACGCAATGCGTTCCGAGGTGGGCGGCCCACGCACGAAGAACATCCGGATACTGACCCCTCCAGGGGCCAGGGTCGTTCCTGACCCTGGCGCCAGCTGTGGCACAAAAGCTTTGCCTCCTCAGGCCGACCGACGGCCTTTCCCGAGGCTACAGAGCACAGGGGGACGCCAGAGCCGTGCTTCGGCCATGGCGGCGAGAGGAGCGCAAGCACCGGTGGGCGGGGCAGTCGAGGGGACCACGGAGCAAATCTGCTGACCTTGACAAAGGCACTCCTCGGGCTATACTCGCCTACCGATAACACCAAAGGGGCAGAGGAAGGCGACCGGGGCAAGAGCCAGGCGCCCATAACTCCGACGATATGGTTGCATAAACAACACCTATACGACCACCTTTCGGGTGATGAGGAGGTTGGATGGTTGGGGGGAGAAGCGCCAGCTGCAGGCAAATGCGATGGTTGTGATGATGACGATGCTGGTGAAGTGCCCCCGAGTTAGTGACGACGCGTGGTGAACATGTTGCGCTGCGATGTGATGTCTCTGTGTTCAACGATTTCGATCACACTCGATCGATCCCACGATCGACCTCACAAGATCGATCACACTCGATCTCACTATAGATGTCACTATCAATCGGACTATCGATTCCTCTATCAATCTCGCGTTCGAACTCATTATCGATCTCACGACCGACCTCAGTATCGATTCCTTTATCGACCTCATTATCGATCTCACGATCGATCTCACAACCAATGTCACATTCAACCTCACTGTTGATCTCACTTTTGATCGCACTGTCCATCCCGTCCTAGAGATCTCAATATCGATATCACTATCGAAATCACTATCGATACCAAGGCGGGACAAACCCGGCCACTGCTCGCACACCGTCGACGCAACACGGACGGGACACCAACGCGGCACTAACGGGACACCACAGGACACCACGGCGGGACACCAACGGAACACCAGAGGACACCGCTGCGAGACACCCTGGGCCACCGCGCACCCACTGGGGGCGGAGGGGCGGTCCACTGCATCCGATTCGCCTCAGTGACGGCCGGGACATCCCCATCGCGCGCCCAGGCAGCTTCGCCTCGCTCGAACTCACACGACATGAACACGACACTGGTACCGATGTCCCGGTGGAGGGCTCTCCGTCCCACTGCGATCTCACCCCCCCAACCTCCGATGGACATGTCGATATATGAATACACACAAATATACATATATCTCTATATATGTAATAATGCAAACAAATCCGCCGATCCGGCGTGTGAACTACAAGGAGCCTCAGCAAGAGCTTCAGCTCTGAGCCTAATCAAGAGCTTCAACTCTGCTTGGAGGGGGGGCGCCGGGGTTGCTCTGCCGGGGAAGGGGGGGAGGGGGGGGGGGGGGCATCTGGCGTTT